CTTTTTAATTCGATTTTGAGACAGTCTTACTGAGTTGCTGACATTGGCCTTGACTTCACACTCAGCTTGTACTTAATGTACCTTTGCATCGTTAATCAGATATGAAAGATAGAAAAGGAGAGGTCAATTCTTTGGGTCTCCATTTTCTTGTAGGTAAGCAAAAATATTCTCTAACCCTACTTCACAAAGATATTATCAAGATTATTAAAATTATATGCAAGGCTTTCTAGTCTATGTGTAACAAAACTGTAAATATACACATATCCTTTGACTCAAAGTATCCTACTAGGATTTAGCCTAAGAATATCAGGGATGCTCAATACACTCTTTATTAGAATATTATTAAAAGGGAAATAATTTATATGTATAGAGATTAGCTAAATTAATTATTGAATATATAGACATCAAAAATGAATTATCCACATTTAAGTTGCAATGATAATATGTTCAGTGAGTATGAAGTGATAAAAGCAGGTTTATAGCACAATTTGACTATACTTCCAAAATATGTGCTGATATACATTTTTAAATTCTGGAAAATTAAATCATAAGTGAATTTAACTCTTTTTGGCAATAGGCACTTTTTTTTTTTTAGTTGTTAATGGACCTTTATTTTTATTTATTTATATATGGTGCTGAGAATTGAACCCAGTTCCTCACACTTGCTAGGCAAGTGCTCCACCACTGAGCCACAATCCCAGCCCCAGCATGTTATTCTTTAAAAAATGTGCTTTAAAGGAATCTTTTTGGCTTTTGTTTACTTCTTTTTTTTCTGATTACAAAAGATATGTCTCGGTTTTAAAAAGGCAGGCAATTCTGTGTGTTCTTCAAACACTTTCTCTTCCAGCATCCCTTCTTCTCCTAGTCATAAAGGTTCTACAAAGTATCACCTCAGTATCCATGATCCTGAGTTAATGAACACTCACCTACCTGGTGATGGTGTCTTAATCTTGTATCAAGCCTAAACTTTCTCAGATACACATTTCTGCACATGTGTCACACATTCTTAAAAGTCAGCATATTCACAAACTATCTTCCCTTTCCTTCCCCCCCACCAATTCCAGATGCATATTTCCTAACTCCATTAAAGGCTTCTTCGTTCATATGGTCTCCTGAAGCTGGCAAATTTGATTCTGTCCACTCAAATAACTAGTGAACAAATTCTCTCTTTCATGACATTTCTAATTTACCTCTTCCTTCGTCCATCTCATTGCAATTTTCAAAGCTAACTAAGGCCCTGCTGTTTCTGACCTGGACTACTCAGCCAAACACTTCTTGAGCATCCATTATATTTCAAGCACAGTAAAAGGAGTTGAGGATATAAAATTAATAAAGCAAAGTATTGCCTCTCAACCATATCTTAGAACGGGGAAATATAAGAAAATACAATGCAATAAGTACCAAAATTAGAACAAAATCAATAAAACATCAACTCCTTTCCTATATGATCTAATTATACAACTATCTAAATTAACTTTCTAGAATACAAACTAGATCATGTCACTCCTCTGTTGTAAAATCCTTGATGATTCTCCCCAATTGCCTATAGGAGAAAGTCCAGATGCTTTAATACCATGTAAACACTTCACAATCTGGTCCCAATTCACCTAACAGTTCATCTATTACTTTTCTTTCACTTCACATCCTATGACCTAATCATGTATAACCAGATGCTGTTCTGATAATATGCTGGATACTTTCCTAACACCTAATGCTTGTACATCCTGCAGTAGGAGAGAGCCCTTCTTCCTTGTGCCCAGCAGCAGAAACCCTGTCCTATTATCAAATGAAACCTCCTTTCTGAATCATACATTAACCTTTTCTCCCAATGTTCCCCAACTCCCTAGTACTAGGAATGTCCTGAATCAAGGAGAGCTCTACCATGGAGCACACTCCCATCACTTTTTATTTTTAATTCTGAGTCAGGATCAAGCTAAGTAGCTGAGACTGGCCTTGAATTTGCAATACTACTGGCCCAGCTCCTAAGTCACCAGGATTACAGATATGCAGCACCACACCTGGCCCAATGTAGTTTTTATACAATGTATTATAATACTTCTTACATTGTGTTGCAATTTGTTTGATATTTTTTCCCTCTCTACCACTAGACTGTGTATCCTTAGTGACAGAGATTACATCTCATATTATTTGTACCCTTCCCAAAGTCTAGTTTTAGTAAATATTAAAAACAAAACAAAACAAAACAAAAAAACTGTTAATGATAGGGGGAAACAGATTTGCAGAGAACTAAAATATACTACACATTTTTTTTGTTGTTGTTCTCTGTCTGGAAGCCATGGGTATACCTAAAACACTAAGGTCACTACCTACCACCACTGATAAATACGTGGAACACAAAGAAGACTGTGTTTTAATCTTTTCCCTCTTATCTATCTAACTAGGATTCATCCCACAAATAACAGTAAACAATACAGAGAGAAATCCTGCTCACCAAGGGCTTATATTCAAGTGGGAAGAGGCCATTAAAAGGTAAACAATAAGGGACTGGGGTTGTGGCTCATTCGAGACCCTGGGTTAGATCCTTAGTACCACATAAAAATAAATAACTAAAATAAAGGCATTGTGTCCAACTACAACTAAAAAGTAAAATATTTTTTTAAAGGGTAAACAATAAGTAAGATCACAAATACTGATCAATGTGGTGAATTTAAAAAAGCAGTCTGATGGAATTAAGGGTGCTTAGAGAAGACACATGCCACTTTAAATGGGAATAGGGAAAAAGTCACAGGTTTCCTCGAGAAGGTAATTTTAGGAAAATAATTATGCAGGCAGAGGCAACTGAAGAGAAATACACTTGGCTGCTTGAGAGAGAGTAGAGACAATGTGTCTAGAAAAAGAAATAAGTGAGCTGGGCACAGCAGCACATGCCTGTAATCCCAGCAACTTGGCTGAAGCAGGAGGAATGTAAGTTCAAAGTCAGCTTCGGCAATGTAGCACGGGCCCTAAGAAAGTGAGACCCTGTCACAAAATAAAAAATAAAAAGGACTGGGTATGTGGCTCAGTGGTTGAGCACCCCTGGGTTCAATCCTGAGTACCAAAAAAAAAAAAAACACCAAAAAACCAGGAAATGAATTTGGAGAAGGAGGGCCTTTGTAGTTGGAACCATGGTGGAAGCCTCAAGACACCTACTTGGGTTTGGCATTTTCTAGTTTACTAGTTCTATTGTCTGCACAATCATCTACATTCTCATAGCAGGACAAGAGAATAATGGAATGGGGTTCAGAGCCCACTCTATTGTTAAACAGATGCCAAATGATCCTCAAAGTACCTCTCTTGGTTTCTGCTGATTAGAAGTACTACTAGATATAATGTTGTAAAATATGGTCCCAGGGCTAATGAAAACATGATAAGCACAAAAAATAAAACCACTTTAAAAGAAATACAAACTTCTATTAACTATAAGACAAGTCACAGAGAATGATATCAAAAGTATCCTAGATTCATTATAGGAAATAAATACTCTGCTACTTTCAAAATACATAAGATTTACAAATATATCCTTTTAACTGAATGAATTTTTCCATTCCCATGTAAACTTGTAATACAAATCTAGATCTCAATGATTAAATAAACTCCCAGTTTCACCTAGCCAAGGTTTTTCTTTACTTTTACAAAAATTAAAAATTATGAGAATTGTACAAACTGATATGCATTAGAAACTCTCAGCAGTAATTCTGTGAATGTTTATGCCATTATTTATTTAATGCAAGTATTACTGAGATGGTAAAACAAAGTCAATCCATTACATAAATGAATATTTGTGAAACTAGTTGCTAAAGCAACAGAGTAGTTGCTAGGAAGTCAACCAGTGTGAAATTACACATCTTACTCCTATTCTCAGTAGCATCTGCTTGGCTTGCTCACTCGAACATGAACAATCCTCTAAATATAAAGACCCTTTCATTATCCTTGTAAGATCTTAAAATTCCAGGATGCAAGCCTTCCACCAGCAAAAATAAACGCATTCTCGGTATCACTACACTCAAAACCTGTATCCAATGATCTCTGGCTAGTGTAGTAATGTTTCCCTAAGGCTCTCTAAGGCAGATCAGAGGTAAAATTTTTTTTCTCGTATTTTGCAAGATCATCAAAAGCAGCAGAGGCATCAAACAATAATCATCTCATGTTCCCTCTCTCTCTTTCCTCCAAGGGCCAAAGTTTCTTAAAATGAGTCTTCATAATAACCATGGCCCCAACAGCTATGAAGCAAAAGAAAACATTTTAGTCTAAAAGGGGAAATGTTTACATTCTGCAAGCTGATCCCATTCATAAGGTCTTTATCTTCTCTTCTCCACTCATATAGGATAGCTCATTAAAATGTATATAAATACCCTATATACCTTTTAATCAATCCCATCTTTAAACTGGTTGTTGTCATTATTTATTATTTCACCCACAGATTCACACTTGGTTGGAAAATAAAATTGCAGGATTTCTCCCTGGAGTTCTATCTCAATCTTAATGTTTGGAACTCCAAGAAACTGTTTAATGGAAAACTTCTCTATACAGGATACATAGTCTTGCGGACTAAGTCTGGGTATTACTAAGGAAGGATTTACTCTTCTTTTTTCAGGGTAGAGGTTTGAATTAAAGAAAGGACTTACAACCTTCTTAAAGTGTGATTCGAGAAACAACAGTATCTGCATTACATGGGAATTTGTTAGAAATGCAGAATTTAGGGCTCTACCCCAAACCTACTAATCAGAATCTGGATTTTATTGATAATTTGGGTGCTTATATACATATATCATAAAGTCTCAGAATTGGTGAAAAACTTTAAAGCCTATCACACATAGACCTTGAACAATAAAATTATGACTCATAAACTATAGTCCCCTTCACAAATCCTTTATTTCTTATACCAACAGGTCCTACTTAAGAGAAACTTCCCATAAAACTATAAACTGCTTGTCTTGAAACACATCAAGCTTATTATAGCAATTGTTGTTAGTGGAAGCCACTGACAACTGATTTCTTACCTAATCTGAGCTCTCCGAAGTTCCCACACCCTATCTTCTTGCCAACCCTGAAGTTGGGTCCTACCATAAGAACCCCAGAGGATGTCGAGGAGCCAGATGGTCGAGAGCAGTGTGCACTCCTTTGTGCCATGGGTTTAGTTGTCCGTTGTCTTTCATCCTTTTCCCTACTAGGATGGTCCATGATCCTACACGACAAAGTCTCTGTATAACGAGTAGCCTCAGTGTGTATACCTCTCTTCAATACAAAAGTATGTCCAAATAAATCGTAGTCAGAGAAATATAAGGAGTTCTTTTGGCACCATATTTATGTTTCTAATGTATCTCCAGGAGATGAAAAACCATCGATTAGTTCCTGTAGGACATGTAGTCTGTAGGTCTCAAGCATAGGAGGACATTTTGTAACCTAGGTAAAAATCAAGAAAACATGCAGTTAAAAATTAAATTTTGAAACAAATTGAGAAAGACACCACTAATTAGAATGGATCCTATCCAAAGATGAACAGTGGATAGCTTCCTGAAATAGGTTTTGGTTTCATATCCTCCAACAGTTTAACCATCTGGATTAGTTATTCATGTGTTAACATAAGCTCAGTGGGCTGCAAACTATGGAAACTAAGGAAACACACAAGCCTTTACCACAAAATAGTTTCTTCTAGTAATGTACCTATGACCACTATCCCCAAAAATATTCGTTGGCTTCCTCATCACAGGCTAACAGAAAGATCTAGTGAGGTTTGAGTCAAGTTAAATACAACGTGGACAATACACATTCTCTTCTTTTTAATTTATCTAGAATTTAACCAGAAATGAGGTTACTCACTGCCTCTCTTCCCCATTCCATCATTTATCAAGCACTGGCAGCAATTAGGCAATTGGAAGGAATTCCCCAAACCCTATTAGTACTAAGTGGCCATAGACTAGAGCTTTGAAAAGCTCAATTTTTGGTCTAGCTTTTGATGTGGATTTAGCATGCCATGACAAGACTTTCTAAAGGAGATTCATTATAGAAACTCAAAGAGAAAATAAAGCCAAAAAACTAAAAAATCTTAAACATAAATAACATTCATCCCTACCAGAATTCCCCAGTTTCCCAATTCAGGACTGAACTTATCACAAAAGGTTACAATGAGATCATTTTGATGCTATATTTGATAATCCAAGTGAATATCTGTAATATTATGTTTTGGTTTTTGTACATGGTTTCTGGTTCATTACTCCTATAACCCTTGTTATTTCCTAAGTGATCAAAATAATGTTGGGGTGCTTTAGACCTCAGAGGAAGGCCTCAGAAAACAAAATATTACCTTCCTTTTGCCCTCCTTCCACCTGCTACTTTTTCTCCCCAAGGCAAGCCATAAAAACTGAGTTTCTCTTCCCCAAGGCAAGTTACATTGTGAGCTCTTAGAACTTCCCACAACCAATCTTCTCACCAATCCTGAAGCTGGGTCCTACCATAATTACCCCAGAGCATATCTCCTCTCCAATGCAAGTTCCCTAGCCCCTACTGTGGAGCTGCTGACCGTAAAGAAATTCTCTGACCAACCTGTTTCACAGATGATCATAATATGCCCATTTCAAAAAGCTGGGAGGGAAGAATGCTTCACAGAGAGGCAAAACAATCTGAACAGACTGGCTTACTAGGTTTCCCCACTGTCAATTATTAACATAAAATCATACCCTTTTGTCCAGTAACATTTCTGAACCCTCATCCATGCTTCAACCATGCCTACACAATGAAGTCTTCACAAAAAAGAAAAAGGACAGAACTTGGATAGCTTCTGGATAGCTTTTAACATAACTGTAGACAGGGAGATTCCTTAAATGGTGTTGTACCACCTACAGAGAGCAGGAAAATCCTGTACCACTTGCCCTATACCTCACTCTATATATCTCTTCATCGTATCCTTTATAATAAACCAATATATGCATTTCCCTGAGTTCTGTGAGTCACTTAATAGAATGAACCCAAGGAAGCGGTTGTAGAAAGAAGCCCTATTGATAGCAGTCACTCAGAAACAGAGGTAAAACAACTCAGGGCTTAGGAATGACATCTGATGTGTGGGAGAAGGGGTTCATCTTGGCAACTGTTTCCTCATTTTGTGGGATCTGATGCTATCTCCTGACTATGTCAGAACTGAACTGAATTAGGACATGGACAACCAGATAGTGTCCACTGCTATAGAAATACTTGCTTGCTTGCTGGTTGGAAGAAATCCCCATACCTTTAGGGGTCACAGAAGTCTTCTATGTTGATTATTGAGGTGTGAGAGTAGAAGAAAATCAGTTCTGTTTTCCCAACTCAATACCCTTAAGAAAAAAATACTTTTTGTCACATGTTAAATCCATGTTTATGTTTCACTTTCAAAACCATTCTCCTAGCTGGGCATGGTAGCACATGCCCATAATCCCAGTGGTTCCTGAGGCTAAGGCAGGAGGATTGCCAGCCTTAGAAATTAGCAAGGCCCTAAGCATCATAGCAAGATCCTTTCTCTAAATAAAAAAAAATAAAAAAGGGCTGAGGATGTAGCATGTAGCTCAGTGTTTACGCGACCCTGGTTTTAATCCCTGATACTGGAAAAAAAAAAAAAAAGAAAAAAAATTCTCCCCAAAACTTTAAGAGAACTGAACAATTACTTGGTTATCATTACTAGTACATAACACAGCAAAAATATCTAGACTGTAAGCTTTCTGAGGACACTAGAGATAGGATATAATCACAGGTACAAAGCTAAGAGCTGACTGTTCAAGTAGGTACATAATCCAAAAATATAATATTTTTGCTTCATTATAATAGTTAAAATTACTGCTTACTCATCTCTTTTTATTGAGGTGAGATTAGCAATTACTAGATTTCCTATATGAACAATATAAAGGATCACAAGTTTGAGGCCGGTCTGCTTCAACTCCCTACCCACCATACACACACAGTAGCTGGGATTACCTGCACCACTATGCCTGGCTTAAAGTTCTACTTCTTTATCACCACCCACTGCTCAAAATGATTTTCTGGTCCCCATTTATAAACTCTGTAGCTTGTTACTCGATGCCCTTGAATATCAACCATCTCAATCCTCTTTTTAAATAGTACAACATAGGGTTGATGATGTAGCTCAGTGGTAGAGCACTTGTCTAGTATGCATAAGACCCTGGGTTTAATCCCCAATACCACAAGAAACAAAAACAAAAACTACAATATAAATACAAAGAATACATGCCTTATACCTAGAATGGCCTCTTAACTCCTCCATTTGCATTTAAGGCTTGACTCAAGCTTAACTCCTGGGTTAAACCTTTTATAACCAATTTGTCATTTACATGTGAAACACCACTGTCTCTATCCGTCATTTGTCATCCACCATGTACCAGATTATAATTATGCATACCCTAATATCTAATTTGATTATAAGCTTTTAAGCTTAGGGATCCTGTAACATCTCCTTTAGTTTCTTACATATAATTAAGGTAGTACTTAATAAATATTAAGTTTAATACTTATGTTGGATTTGTTCAAGTATTTGAAAACAGATTTCAGTGACAATCAAATGTGTACAAAACAGAGAACTAGAATTCATCTATTAAGAAGCTAATATTAATTCACTTAAATTCAGTGTTAAGATATGTTAGGATTTCCATTTCACAAGAATATTATATAGTTTATTTACAGTACTAGTTGGTAACATATAAAAAAAAAAAGCTTAAGAAGGAGGTTAAACAATACTGAAAGTAAAATTATACTATAACATTAAAAAATGGTTTCTAAGAACAACAGCAAAAAACAAACTATGTTATTTCTTACATTATTATCTATCTCATATTATTTCTAGTCCTTTTTATTCCTCTAAAAAAAAGTAGAGGAAAGGGGGCTGGGGATGTGGCTCAAGCGGTAGCACGCTCGCCTGGCATGCGTGCGGCCCGGGTTCGATCCTTAGCACCACATACAAACAAAGTTGTGTCTGCCGAAAACTAAAAAAAAAAAATAATATTAAAAAAAAAAGTAGAGGAAAGAAATTATATACACGTAGTAAGTATGTGTTTATTTTTCTAATGAATAACCATTTGACAATAACTTGTAACTTATTTATTAAACATGTTACACACTGTGATGAATCAATATTTGAATTTTTATAGTCAGAGCAGCAAGTTCCTAAAGAAACCTCAATTCTAGTGGTTCCTATTAATTTAGGTATGACTAAATGAGAAGAAAGATGAGATATTTTTTAAAAGTATGAAACTCCACATATTTTTTGAAATCAAAAGTTATATCTTGCTGGTTTGGTGATGTTTGCCTATTCAACACAAAGAAATGATAAATGTGCTAAGCATGGTGACACACACCTATAATCCCAGCTATTTGGGAAGCTGAAGCAGGGGCATTTTAGCCTCAGCAATTTAGTGAAAACTTGTGTCAAAACATAAAAAGGGCTGGGGGGGTGGGGTGAGTGGTAGAGTGCTTGTCTACCATGCACAAGGTCCTGGATGCAATTCCTTATTTGCAAAAAACAAAACAAAACAAAAAACCCAGAAAAAAAGAAAAGGATATAAATTGGATATCTCACCAAAAGGTAAACAGATGGGAAATAAGTGTATGAAAAGATGTTCAATACATGTCACTAGCAAATTGCAAATTAAAACAAGTGAGATACTATTACACACCTATCAGAATGGTGAAAATCCAAAATACTGTGACAACACCAAATGCCTAAAGGAGAATACAGAGTAACAGGAACTTTCATTCATTATTGGTGGGAATGCAAAATGGTACAATCAATTTGGAAGGAATTTTAATGATCTTATAAAATTAAACACAATTTTTACAGATGATCCAGTAATCATACTCCTTGGAGTTTACCCAAATGAACTGAAAATTGATGTCCCACAAAAACCTGCACATAAATGCTTACAGCAGTATTACTTATAATTGTCAAAAACCCCTCAAAATCAAGGATAATTTTAATAGGTCAATGGATAAACAGACTGTGGTAAAGCCATGCAACAGAATATTATTCAACAATTAAAAAAAAAAAAAAAAGCAAAATCACCAAAAGACATGGAAGAAAGTTAAATGCTTACGGCAAAGTGAAAGAAGCCAATCTAAAAAGGCTAAATACTATATAACTCTATGACATTCTGGAAAAGGCAAAACTATGGAGACAGTAAAAAGATGATTGGTTGCCTGGTGAAAAGAGGGGACAGAGGGATGCCAAGATGAACGGTTGGAGCACAGGAGATTTTCCAGTCGGTGTAACTATTCTATATTAATATTGGCTCATCAACTGTAAAAAATATACCACACCAATGGGATATTTTAATAGGGAAAAATAAAGTGGGGGGAGAGAGAAAGAGAGTAAGAATATGGAAATTCTGAACTTTACACATAATTTTTCTGTAAACCTGAAATTGTTTTTACAAACTAAAAATAAGTCTATTAATTAATATAGCAATAATTTCATCTAAAAACAGCACCAAGAGACTAAAAGTACTTAGGAATCTATTTATATAATACATATAGGATTGGGAATGTAGCTCAGGGATAGGGTGCTTGCCTAGCGTATGTAAGACCCTGAGTTTAATCCCTTGCACTGCAAAAATGAAAAAAAAAAAAAAAAAAAAAAAAAAAAAAAAAACATTTGTGCTCAAAATTATAAACTACCATTGAGAGAAATTAAAAATCTATGTAATTGGAGAGACTGAAAGGTGTGTTCAGGGATTAGAGGTTGTGATGTCAATTTTCCTTAAAGACAAATTTAATGCAACTCATATCAAAATCAATAACATGGTTACAGGAATTAAAACACTGATTAAAAACTATATATGGAAACTGCAAAATAAGTCTATTTTGTTATAGCAGCTAGAAAACTAACACTTGTTGCAACTGCTATAATAATCTTTACAAACATGTATATAATTTTATATGCATATAACATACGTATACAATTTTTAATGTGTATACATATACAATATAAAAAAAAAGAACATATGGAAAAGCAAAGGACATAGAAATAGCCAAAACAATCTTAAAACACACAGAAAAGGTCAAATTCTGTATGATTCCACTTATATGAAATTCTTAATCAAAATCATGAAAACATAAAATGGAAAGGTGGTTGCCAGGGATTGAGGAAAAGTGGAAATCAGGAGTTTTATAGATATACAGTAACAGTTTTATAAAATGAAAAACTTCTAAAGCAATATATAACATTGCTGTTGCATGCCAGTGTGAATATGATTAACCTTATGGGTCTGTACACTTAAAAATGGTTACCAGGGTAAATTTTATGTTATGTGTTTTCCTACTCCAATTAAAAAAAAAAATCAGAACACAAAGTTGGAAGAATCTACTAATTTCAGAACATATTTTAAAGCTGCAATCATTCATACATACCTGTTATTCCAATTATACAAAGCTCAAGAACAGGAAAAATTAACCTACGGTGAAAGAAACCAGAAGTATTTGTTCATAGAAAGGTGGGTGTTTAATGGAAGAGAACACTAGTCTAATGAATATCCATAGGTATATGCATTTATCAAAACTCACCAAAATGCTGGGCATAGTGGCACACACCTGTAATCCCAGCGGCTCAGGAGGCTGAGGCAGGAGGATTGCAAGTTTAAAGTCAGCCTCAGCAACTTAGCAAGACCCACCAAATAAAAAATAAAAAAGGGCTGGGGACATGGCTAAGTGCACCTGGGTTCAATTACAACCCACAAACTCACTAAAGTATTTTTTTAAAAGATCTATATGATGAAAAAAAAATCTGTATAACATACTTCAATCTATGTAACATACTTCCACAAATAAAAATACATAGGTCCACTGTAGGGAGGGATGGGGGGAAGTGCAGTATTGTATATCTGATCCTGAAAAGGGTGAGGAGGGCTGGGGATGTGGCTCAAGTGGTAGCGCACTCGCCTAGCATGCGTGAGGCAGTGGGTTCAATTCTCAGCACCACATAAAAATAAAATAAAGATATCGTGTCCACCTAAAATTTAAAAAAATATTTAAAAAAAAAAAAAAAAAAGAAAAGGGTGAGGAATGCAGCACATGTGGTCAGAGCCCAAGCATGGAAAGTACAATCCAGCATGCTATATTGGCACATGCACAAGGTGAGGATGGCATCCATGTGAAAGAAGAAGTCTGGAACAGAGTACTGGAACCCAAATAGAGTAAGAAGAGTAGCAATGAGAGAGTAGTCATATACAGGCAGAGTGACTAAATAGGTAACATATTGAGGACAATTATGGTCAAATTTCTCAGTATAAAAGAATTTAAAAAATGGAAAAGGAAATAACCTAGAATGAAACGTGGTGCTGGATGTGCATCAGAAGTATCAAAGTAAACTCATTACGTTTTATACACACACAACAGACAAATATAGCAATAAAATAATTACTATCTCCCTAGCTAGGTATAGTGGCGCATGCCTGTAATCCCAGTGGTTCAGGAGGTGGAGGCAGAAGGATCTCGAGTTCAAAGTCAGCCTCAGCAATTTAGCCAGGCACTAAGCAACTCAGTGAGACCGTCCATCTCTAATAAAATACAAAACAGGGCTAGGGATGTGGCTTAGTGTTTGAGTACCCTGAGTTCAGTACCCAGTACCAAAAAAAAAAAAAAAAAAATACCATCTCTATCCACTAACAGGACCTGAGGAGAACAATACCCAATAGCAATGAACATATCTGACAAACACCATTCTCAAGAAATGCTAAGTTTAGAGTTGAGGAAGCTAACAGAGTATAACATGAGCCTAAAACATGAAAATAAAGAAACAGTCAATGAATGATAGTAATATGTCAAAAGAATACATATGCAATCTTGTAGGGAGGGCTCCTACTGGCCAAATGTGAATATCAAAATAAATGATACATAAGATTATAACCCACCCAATAAAGGAGTAAATCAAAAATTTATAAGATATAGTTGAATAAATTACAAGTTTGATTAGTAATGTGATATTTACTTAAGACTTGAATTAACTTTTCCTAAAATATTTAGCATAATTTTTAAGTGGATCCTTTTTCTATATATAATATTGGGGCAACTGGCAATACTTTTTAAGGGGAGTCTGAGGATTGGATATACTGTGGTTATTTAGGAAATACATGCTTAAATGCTGGGGCTTATGGGATATTTTGTTAGGGAGAAAATGTTCTTTGTACTGTATTTGACAAAAATGCATTGAAAACATTGTCTACTTAATCTGTAATATTTATTTTTAATGAATTTTTCTTTATAATGTTCATCTTTGGCAGTCACTGGATCCTTCCCCTGAAAAAGTAAATTAAAATAAAATTAATGGCTTTAGGTTTATGTCTTCAGTTCTCTTACTTTTTCAGTAAAAAGAACTAATCTCATTCCCATAATCAGTCAACAGCTATGTTTTCAGACTACCTGCACATTTTACAAATAAGCAAAAAAGTTGGGTTAAAATATGATGACACTTTATTTTCCCTCTAGTTCTATCATTCGTTTACTCTCATTTTATTTGTTTTGTGATTTCATCAACTTAGGAGGGTTCTCACTCTCTAGCAGCCTCTTCCAGTCTTTTTTTCTCTTTACTCTGCTTATATACCACAATCTATAATTTCTATCACTATTCAGCCAAAGCCTCCATAGTGTGTGAATCTTACTACTGATTATCTATGCTGCTGAGTACTGACAGAGAAATATGTTACAACTGGTACCATTATAAATATGTGGTCTCCTAATTCACCAGAATCCTGAACAGTGCTATACAGTTTTTCTGGTGTTTCCTCATCCTTAGCAGGTGATCCTATATTTCATTTAAGAAATAAAAGCCAACCTACTGGGAGAGGTATGGGCTGATATGCCATTTTAAAAGAATTCTTATAGTATTTCAAATTTTAAGTAAAAATTAATCATAATACATTTGACCTCCTTCAAATCCCATTTTAAACAATCTATAAATAGAAAATAATATTGACCAACTTATACAGTCATATCATGGGCATACGGCAATAAATAAATTCCACTATTATAATTATAATGCACCAATAAAAATATGGCAAAAGGGTAAAAAAATCATTAAAATCTTGCTAAAATATGTCATAATCATATATATATCAGTGAATATATGTAGCAAAATAAAAAGAAAGAAAAATTTTAATAGAATGTGTAGCCCAATCTCACCTACCATTATACCCAACGGGAGAAATGAATTTTATTCCCTCAGACTCTGTTCACAAGGGCTCTTACTGTATAGAATCTCATAAGAAATAATTTTAATGTTTAAAGATATGTATGTATTTTTCATAAAACGTAGCTGTAGAACACACAACAATTTCATCTGGTGCTCAACTAGAAAACAGAATTTGATCCAACATTGGAAGAAAAACTGACCACACTAGACTTATTTAAAGGCAATATATGTGTTCCTGAAAAATATATGTGACCATACATGATATTAATCTCATGTCATGAGCTGAGATCCAAATCATGAGTAAGATCTGACTCTTGTATATTGATGAGGCCATTTACCAAGTATTATTATTAATGAGAAACTAGAATCAACTTAATGTCCTTGACTAGGAGAATTGTTAAATTCCAATGTACCTATGCTGTGGAACATTAAGTATATAGCTGTTGAAAAGAAAAAAGGAGATCTATGTCTTAGTGTGGAAAGAGTAAAATATCCTATTAGGTAAAAGGGCCTATTGCAGAATAAAATGTATAGTATGATCCTGCAAAAACAAGTAAAATAAAAACAAATTAATACTGAATTCTTTTGCAAACACTCTTTCCACGAATATGTTTGCACATACTTCGAAGTCTGTAAAAATTAACAGCAGTTTACTTTTGAGGGATAGGATCAAAAGGAAAAGAATGAAACTTTTTTAGTAATTTTTTTCCAACTTTTTTAGTAATTTTTTTCCTTTGTCAATTGCTGGGGATAGAACCCAGGGTAGATCCTTCCAGATCTGGTACTTGCTCACTTTTCCAGCTTCATTTCTGTTAATTCCTCCCCTTATATTATATGTTAATGAATATTGAAGTACTTCAATTCTTCCAAATGGCCCTGGATCCTTCTTTACCCTGCTCTTCATTATGTTAACTTATGGGCATATTTAACTTTCATCTTAAATAATCTTTTACCTAATACAAACAATTACAGTACTACTTGAGTACCCACCAATAGCACTAATATGGTACAATGTAATTGTTTATGCACCTGTGTATTAACTTTGTGAAGGCAGGAACTATTTGTTATCACATTCTCCATTTTATTCACTGGGCCTAGCACAGTTAGTTCTCAAATATTTACTGATTAAAGAGAAATATAAACGAATAATTGACTTCCCAATTCTGTTCTCAACTAATGAACAGAAATTCAAATTACAAAGATCCTAATTCCTATCATCATTCTGAGAAGGATAAACATATTACAAATATCATGACAATTATATCCTGCTTTAATTGTCTGCAATGTTATTATTATTAAAAAGACAACAGTCCTGAGAAAAATAAATTTTCACCTATATGTCATAAGAGACCATCAAAAGCTGAAAACTAATGACCAAGATAATGGTTTTATTTTAGATCCAATTCTAAGTATTCTCATGTGGGAGTTTCTCTGACATTATAAATATTTAGTTCCAAGCCATGAGAAAAAATTATTTAATTTAGGCACAAAGTTGATAAGGTAGAAGACCAATGCCAAAAATCTGCATTTTTATTGTCAGCCCCAACACCAATTTGTTTTCCTCCATTCAATTCACCTTCTATCATAGAAAAAGGGCATACATAAAATATACAGTAGCTTACACTGGAAGAAAAACAGATTTAATTGATTTACATATGTTCTTTTTTGTATTACTTCTACATGAATCCTACAGAATGACAGCAATTATTGAAGGAATTTGAATCATGTCCAGATGTCAAAAAGAAAAACTACAGCACCTACATTTATTTAAAGTGTTCCTAAGTCAATCAATAAATATTTAGTGAGTGCCTCCTAGGTGCCTAAAAACTGGTAAAGTTAGAACAGTGAACTCCACATGTACAATTCCTTTGCTTATAGAGCTTACAGTGTAGAATGGACATCACAAATAACCACAGGAATAAAAGTATTACAAATCTGAACTATGGTGCAAATTAAACAGAGTTGCTGAAAGAAAGTTCATATTGCTGTTTTGGTACTAGAGATTGAACTCACAGGTGCTTTCCCATTGAGCTACAACTCCAGCCCCATTCATTTTTTTATTTTGAGATAGGGTCTCAATCAGTTACCAAAGATGGCCTCAAACTTGTGATCCTCGTGCCTCAGTCTCCTGAGTCACTGAGATTGCAGGCATGTGCCACTATGACCAGCCTGAAATAAAGATTATGGGTGAGTCAGAACAAGTTTTAGATAGAGGGTGGTAAGGACTTTATGAGAAACCATTTTTAAACAGTGTCCTCAAGATGAGAAGGTACCAATCTTGTCAAGAGCTAGTGACATAGCCTTGATACAGAAGGATTAATAGCCTATAAAGAAAGGCTGCTGGTGAACGAAAACCAATGAAATGGGGATTACAGTGAGCAAGGTGAGGAGGTAGCAAGAGTTCACTCACTATTCAGTCCTTTCTGTAGGTCACTGATAGCAATGAAAAGTCATTTAAGCAAGGAAATGACATTTATACTTAAAGGAATGTAGGCATTTACATTTTACAAATGACTGAGTGTTGTGTGACCTGTTCAATGGAGTCAACCTGGATGTACCTGCCTTAGTAAAGACAATCATCTCTTTTCATAAAGAAAATTAAGGCTCAGAAAATGTATGGTCACTGTGTGAAAGTCCAATCCAGCCAGAGAAGTCCAAATCCTGAGCGCTATAGTCCTTCTTCCACACTTACCAAAGGACCCTGCTTGCCCACTCACTTACTCACCCATTCAGCCCCATTGAGTCAAAAGTGTACTGGCCTCAACTGTCCTCCTGAAATAATAAAAAACAGATGTGTGTGGTAATTTTTAAATATTTTCATAAATTTTTTGCCAGGCAGCCTAATCTTCCCTCCCTTAAACACCTTAGTTTCTTCTATTTCCCATATTCAATTTAATAAATAGTACATTTATGTCCTCTTTTTGTGGCAAAATTTCTCTTTGAGGACATATTTGTGTTTTTTTAAGTAGTTTTATTGACTTCAGCTCACATGCCATATAATTCATCTACGTAAAGCACACCTCTGTCTTAAAAATAATTTTTGAACAGGAGATTTCAAATTTAGTCTTAGCCCACAGTTAATGCAACTAACTTAATCTAATCAGCTACTCTAGTTGCTTTATACATTTCATCACTTGATAGGGAGCTGTACACCTGAAAAGGATTTTATAAGACTAAATGACTGTTATCATACCTTTGGACCTTACCTCTAAATCTTATCTAAGTTTGGTGGAGGGGCTTCTTCTATTAGAAGCTTTTATCAGAGAGGAGGGAAAATACTAATTTAAATGTGTATTTTTTCAAATGATCAATATAAATAAATTACATACAATTTCTTTAATAGCTGTGCTATTGTAGTCTCAACACACAAACCATGTACCCAATTAACTTTCTTTTCCCTGTGACTTACTAGTAGGGTTTATTCAAACTGTATGTGGTTCTAACAACAGTATGTGATACTCTCTGAAAGGATAGTTGCAAATGATTTTCTTTCTATATGGTCTAAATTGTATTATTACTGGAAGACGTTTATCAAAATTTGTGACATGAAATTAGAGAAGTAATCTGATTTCCATCACCCCAATAAAATTTTCTCTGTGATTCTTTCTTTAATGCTACTACTAGTAGTAGTACAAGAAGCAGCAACAACAGTATTTTTGGTTAATTCATTATACTATATTGGTTTGGAAAGTGGTTAGGCTGAAGGGCTGATAGGCATAAAACTGTGTTTATATCATGTTTCCTAAAGAAAATTTACTTTGTAAAAATGTAGACGCATTCAGGTTCAACTTTATTGTGAAGTTTAATAAAATCTGGTTTTATTCAGATTCCCATCCAATTAGATTTTGAGTTGACTTCTTGTTACTTCATAAAACTTGTCACATTTGGACTGGGGTTGTAGCTCAGTGGAGAGCGCTTGCCTAGCACATGTGAGGCACTGGGTTTGAGCCTCAGCACTACATTAAAAAAAATTAATAAAATAAAGGTGAAAACAAATTTTGTTACATTTCATTTTTATCAAACTACATGTATCTTCCAACTATTAATAAATCGTATATACTCTCAAAAATGTACCAGGCACTGGGACGCACACCTATAATCCCAGAGGTTTGGGAAACTGAGGCAGGACGATCCTGAGTTCAAAGCCAGCCTCAGCAACTTAATAAGGCCCTAAGCTACTGAGGGAGATCCTGTCTAAATAAAATATTTAAAAGTCTGGGGATGCGGGTCAGTGGTTAAGTGTCCCTAGGCTCAATCCCTGGAAACAAAAATATTAAATTAAATAACAATGTGACATCCTAAGGATATGCAAAAGAAATAAACCTTTCTTGTTTTTTTTTTCCAAAAATAGAGTAGCACCTTTGGAACAAATAGGCTCCGAGTGTGATTATTTTAAGGACGCAATATTTGTTTGGATTTTAAATTGTTTGTTTAAGAATTAGATAAATTTAGGGCTGGGGTTGTAGCTCTGTGGCAGAGTGCTTGCCTTGCATGCGTGAAGCACTGGGTTCAATCCTCAGCACCACATAAAAATAAACAAAATAAAAGCATGCTATCTACCTTTACTAAAGAAATTAGCTAAATTTATAATTTTACCCCCTTATATTTATGTTATAGACATAAAATATACTATCTTTCTCTTGAAAAAATATAAAAGGAAAATATTGCTTACATAAAGGATTTTTTTCAAACGAATGACAGCTTAAGTAGATGAAGACTTTTTCTTATTCTCCAGGTTAATCTACTGAAATAGGCACATATCAAGAAATAAACAGATACTGAATGTCACAAGGGATGACTATTGGGAAAAACTATAGTAGTAAAGTGAACAGTGAGTGTCTCTCCTAAAGGGCACAGCTAACTCTTTGAAGCTGCTGAGTTTAGTCATTTAATATTATAGACCCAACACTGCCAAGTCTGATTTTTCAGAAATTTTAATGAAACTTTCCAGTTTTTTATGATTGGTTTTTTAATTTTTTAATTTTTCTCTTTCTGGGACTGGGGATTAGATGCGCTCAACTATTATACTACATCCCCAGTCCTTTTTATTTTTTGAGACAGGGCCTAGACTTAAACTTGTGATCCTCTTGCCTCAACCTTCCCAGTAGCTGGGATTACAGGCATGTACCACTGGTACCTGGAAATCTGTTGATAATATTTAAAAATTTCAACACACAACAAGACCCACTGGTGCATGTCTGAAATCCTAGGGTACTGAGGAAGTTGAGACAGAAGACCTACAAGTTTGAGTGCAGCCAGGGCAACACAGGAAGACCCTGTCTCAAAACAAAAAGTAAAAAGGGTTAGAGATGTAACTCAGTGGTAAAGCACCCCATGGTTCAAACCCCAGTTCCAAAAGAAAACCAAAACAAAAATTTAAACACTGTCAGAACTACCAGTTTGTAACCTCTGATGTAAAGTTCTTAAAGACAGGTAAGTGGTATACAACTATATTCCAGGATATTCAGAAACTGAAGCCGGAGGATCACTTAAGCCCAGGAATTCGAGACCAGCTTGGGCAACACAGCAAGACTCTATGTCAAAAAATACACAACTTTAAGATAAAAATAAAGTTTTCAAAGTAAAATATGGCTTTTAAAGTAAAAAGGCCAGGGTGGGAACTCATTAAAAAACACAACTATTTAAAATAGAGAGTACCTAGTTTACCCCAGCAATGAAGTTTTAATATGAAAAGTTAAGAATCTGAAATATAAATTATAACTATTGTCTTTCTACAGAGAAGTTCAGAATTGCATGTTTAGTTTTGTTAACTAAATTTAATTTATTTCTGTTTCCTATTCAAGGAAAACTTCCCACATCTCAATTTCAAATCGAAAAAAGAACAATTTAACATTATTATTCTAAGGAAATGAGCTGAGTTCAAAATAAAAGCTTATTCTACAATAAGATAATGAAAGCATTTGTATGCCAAACAGATGGGTTTAAGATATAAAAGGAAAAGGTCATTAGTTATAACATATCACATAAAATTACCATGTGCTGTTGGTTGATGTGAATGTTGCTGCTTCTGATAATGGGCTAAGATCTTTTAGAAAATACCAGGCTATTTTCAGTATAAATGCATTCAGGTTTTTGTCAACAGGAATTAACAGAAAGTAAAATTTATTATATAAAGTGCTGTAAAATGATGGGCTGGAGTTGTGGCTCGGTGGTAGAGCGCCTGCCTAGCATGCGTGAAGCACTGGGTTCGATTCTCAGCACCACATATAAGCAATTAAATAAATATAAGTTCATCAATAACTAATAAAAAATATTTTTTAAAAAGGGAAAATATAAAATTCATTTACAACATGCCTATAAGCTCTTAATATAAGCTCTCTTAATATTTCCTGTTTGTCACAGTATCCCTTGCTGCCAACAATGGGCTTAACACATAGTAGCTGCTCAATAAATATATGATAAAAGGAATTAATAACACTAATCTTAGTTCATATATCTATCACTATACTAATTGATTGTGGCCTATCAAACTAGATTGTGTAATTGTATAGAACCAGGGGCTGCTCTTTTTCTTATATACCTACAGTGTTAGTACTGTGTGAGAGTAAATAAATGTTTAATTGAACTGTTTTCAATTAACTGAAATTCACCTAACAAGTATCCTCAATTAACTAGATCCTATCCCTCTTATTTTACTCCATACTCTAATTACAATAAAATTATAAAACAATGAAACCACAATATGCTCAAAACTTATAGTTCATACTGGACATACTTCTTTCTAACCTTCTTTCTTATTTGTTTTAAGCCCAAGAATTCTATAGGATTGAGGATATATGCTACCTGCCATTAATACCTTCTTATATCCCAGAATATGCTTAAAATAATCTAAAGATAAAAGTGTAGATTAAAATAATTAGCTAGGCCTAGTGGTGCATGCCTGTAATTCCAGCAGCTCAAGATGCTGAGGCAGAAGGATCACAAGTTTGAAGCCACCCTCAGCAATTTAGCCAGGCCCTAAGCAACTTAGTGAGACCCTGTCTCAAAATAAAAACTAAATAGGACTGAGGTTAAGTGCCCCTGGGTTCAATCTCCAGTACCAAAAAATAAATACAAATAAAAGGTGATATAGATATAACAAACACAACTTTTATTAAAAATGAAGTTTACTTTTACTCACAAGTTGATAATACCTCTATGGAAAATTCACAGTTTTAGTCACATTGCTACAGAAAAATCATCTAATAGAGTGATCCAAAAATGCTGAACTACCAAAAAGATTTACATTACAATCCTTAAAATTCATAGACTTTTTGGACAAAATCTTCCTTTACATATATTTCATAAATGTCTTTATATATATATATATGTTTTTTACTATAAAAACACATGCTTGGGGACTGGAGTAGTGGCTCGTGGCAGAGCACTTGCCTATCATGTGTAAGGCACTGGGTTCAATTCTCAGCACCACATATAAATAAATAAAATAAAGTTCCATTGAAAGCTAAAAAATATTTAAAACAAACAAGAAAACAGAAAAACACATGTTTGTTACTTAAAAAAAGTAGAAATGTGATGAAAGAAACGAAAAGTTAAAAAAAAAAAAAGGCTACTGATAAGTTTTTTTTCCAATCATATACTAACATTTTTGTTTGCTTTTTGGGGGGATAAAAATACTTATCCATAATAAAACATACTGGTCACTTTAAACATTAGCAAGTGTACAAATTGTATCAATGGTAAATAACAGTATCTATCACTTTAAACATTAGCAAATGTACAATTTGGTTGCATTAAATACATTCACAATA